AATTTCGGTAATGAAATAAAACAATACAAGTACTAATTCATTGTGCGTCAACTGTACGTCAAAAAGAAGATCAGCCATATATCATTTCATTATGATTACTCATACACTGAATCTATAATCATCATGAAATAAAATGAGGTAAATTCAGAAATAATTCATGTTTTGATAAAGCAACTTATTAGTTATCCGCAGAAATTCCATGCACTAAAGAAATAACATTTGAGCAGCAGATCAATTATACTGTATCTTTTATATTTAAGGAAGCGCATACGTTCTGGTAAATTAGTCACCAATTAGTCACTAATTATTACATGTATCAGTGATGATCTGTCATTTTAGTAACAAAGTATCGCCTATATCTTTTTGTTATTTACGGTCAATAATTAGCCAAGATATGTGTTCATCGATCGGTAAGAAAGGTCGAAAGTGTGGTTAAAACCTGAAAACTGTTTGGTTTAAAATAACCATAGGGTTCACGATTTTCGATAGCCGGAAACCATAACCATGTCTAGTTTTCAGAAGCAATCGATTTGTAAAAGGATCCTTACCAGATCCTAACAGACTTAATCAATTAATTAAACAATTAAACAAATGCTCCTTCCTCTATACTTCGTGCTCTACCAGACCACTTCCACTGATGAACACACGAACACGTGACGAACACGTGACGAACACGTGACGAACACGTGACGAACACGTGACGAACACACGTATACGTCAGCTAGACCGGAGTACGTGGTTAGACTCCTTGTATTTATACCGTTATAACGGTTAATTCAACCACAATATCCACCACCAAGCTGCAGACGTAACACTAATTATGCGTTTTCGAGAAATATTTTGCATACGTAAACAATCCTGGTTTTAAACGTTCAATCCTAATATTTAGTGAGACATAGCATTGCTCCTTAATATAAGGCAAGATTAAGAGTTTATTAGATAAACCATCACAAAACACAAGAAGAGATAAGCACACAGCTTGTTACCATGACACGTGATAATGCACAAAACCTGTTACCTGGTTACGTTATACGTAGTTATATAGTACTGGTACAGGTAATATATCAGTGGATTAGCTCCCACCAAACAATATGATCGCCACACAGTGAGCCCACTGAGCCAGTATTTATGAGATACCCTGACAGTTACTATTACAGTATTAATATTATACGGCACGCTATAAACAGTTATAAACAGCTATAAGCAGTTACCGTATCGCATCAGTGCCAGCCTGACCTAGGTTCACAATACCACTCTGACAAGGTGAAGTGAGGATCACGATTAACTGATTAAGTTGTTAAATACCAAATACAGCTGCCGTGATTACCTCTGCAGGCAGTCATGGTATTACAAGAATAAAACTACAAGTATGTAATATAGAGCACGTGTAATGGAGCACGTGTTATATATAACAGAGGGCACGTGATTAACACGTGTCTCAGCAGTGTTTTGTGTGGTTGTTGATGGTGAGAACCCCATGAGGGCAGTTTTGTGCATAAACTAAACCCCGGGTAGAATGACATTAACGAGTCAAAAGACAACCAAAGTGCACTGAACTTAAAGATGCTTGTATAATACAATTTAAAAGTGTCGAAACTTGGAACTACCTTAATTTTATGTTTAGGAATGTACAGTAAAACCCTGATTTATCGCGGAGTTTCGGGGAAAGGAAAGTAAAACAGCCGTGGTAAATCGGGGTTTGCGGTAAAATAAAATTAAGTAAAAATAAGCCATATTCGGGGGAAGGAAATGGCCGCGGTAAATCGCGGGGTTTGTAGTAAATGGTGGTGCAGTAAATCGGGGTTTTACTGTAGCAGTATCAGCTGCTGTTCTATTTCATATTTATCAACCTGTCACTCCGCCAAATCAAACAATCTTTATTAACACTTAAGCCTGGGGTCTCCAGGTAAAATTTCATGTATGAAATGTAAAAGTTACGGTATTATCGAATGTTAAATGTCGAATTTTCATACAAAATGCACACACCGTCTTACATAAATAAGATTAAGGTTTCCCAAAGAATAAAATGTTTGCTCGATTCCTGATGTTTTAAAGTATTACTGCAAAATGTCGACTATTATTATTTCTTTCGCCTAAGAATTATCATTTATCTTAGGTTTTTGCAGGCAAACGATAAGGTCTTACCTTGTGATTTTTGTCCATAACTCCTCAGGGAAGCATTTTAATCCTACGTCACGTGGGGGCGATTTGGAATCAGCGTCCAAAATACATCGAATGAAGTTACTTTCTTGATACTCTCAAAGCCTTTTCGTAAGATTTTGTAAATTTAGGGGCGAGTGATGTAATGAGAGCCAGATGTTATTTGCAAGGTAAAAATTGTTGAATGTGAACATCTAATACAAATGTCGATTATATAAAATTGTACTTGTAGCATAAAACGCATAAAACGGCTTTCCCCGAAACGGATATTTTGCACTAATCCTCGTAACGTTTAAAAAATTCGCAGGATTTCCAATTACGTCAAGTACCAAGTAATTTGTAAACTGTCAAATCTTATACTGTTGAATAATTAAGGGAATCAAATTGTTATTTTTGTAGGATTTAAGTTTATAGCCCCAATAAGGTCGTTTAAATTATCACGTGGGTGCTTTAATAACTTAATTGAAACATAAAAATCAAACTGATTAATTGTCGGCGACCGATTATTTTCTCCACTGGAAATATAAGATTTATATAATTATAAGAGAGAATAATCCGTGGTTTAGAGCGGATAAGCAACCCATTCCCTTTGCTAAATACTCATACCAGTCGCCATGATAAAATCAAATTAAGAGCATTGAATGATATTCTTTATTTCCAAGAAAAATGTATACCACAGCGCGAATACGGAACCAGGTGCATCAAAGACACCCATCTCTCCCTCTCTCTGCTGTGTCTATATAACAGGGTTGTATAATACTATAACTACTTATACTACGGTAGGATAGTAGGAGATACACCAGCATCACTTGGAAATTACTACAAGAAATGACCAGGCCACTACGAAGGCGGCCGGGGAATATCCAATATGTATCACGACAACTTGATTGAAACCCAGCTCTCCTTTCTACGCTGGTGGACTGATTGATAAGAATCATGACCACTTTCCGAAAGATTTATCAGGTACTAGTAAAGTTATTAAAATTTAAAGAGCGTGATTAATGTTAATTGTTTTAGGTCCTGTGCAGGCTAATTTTACCTTTTGGATTTAATGAATTTGGTATGACTTGGTGCCAGGATATATCGCAAAATAAAGACTTTTCTTGAGTCATCGTAAAATACAAAATAACATTGTAGGCTGCTAGTTTGTACACAGTACACGTTGTATACCTCGCTTCGCACGCGAAAAGGGGTCGCAACGTGTGTCAACTGCTAGTATTGACACAAACTAAAGACACGACTTTTCTTCAGTCATCGTAAAATAGAAAATATTATTAGACTAAGCTCGTACTGTAAAATTATCCTGCAAGTATCTAACCATAGATCTGGATACTGATGAGAAGTTGGTTTTTGTTAGACACGTGACATCACGTGACGTCACGTGACATCGATAAACCGATCCAACTTCCAATCAAAATCACTGTCACATGTAAAAACGAATATTGTTCACCTCCCTCCAGTATATCTAATATACAAATATAATATATCCATTAATCTAAAACCTTTACTAAAAGTAAACCACGCAGACTATCTGACGTCCAAGCCCAGCTCTCTGTTAATGCCATTATGATCTACATGTGTAAAAAGTTAAAGTTAAAGCTAAACAATACAATTTAGAGCACTTAGGTATTTATAGTAGCAACTTAACAACTCCACGTAAAAACACACCCTTTTCAGGTGAACAAACAAAACTACTATTTCAGGGACACTAGTCACTACAACTGAAGCTGCTGTTTTGTTACGATTGTAAGTATAACAATACAGGCAACTGCAGACGTGTAACTAGACGTGATAATGATATTTAACAGTCAGGGCCGGAAGACGAAGGCTAGAAGCCACCTTCAGATAGCTGTCAGCTGTGTATCTGTAAGGGTGGATGGGGTTTTCCGGCACCTGCACCCTTAGTCTCACTCTTACAATTTCACCTGTGAAGATAGTGATAACAGATGCTAGTCTTTACCAGCATTGTAGCTTAACAATGGAGGTATAATTGTTCACGTCATTGTTTGACTACTCTTATTATATATGGGTTGTATAGTATATACTATGTAGGAGTATATAGGAGGGTATCACGGAGGAGGGTGGTATTATTCCTCAGGGTATTTACCCGCTTCTGTTTGAATAACGGTTTTTCATTTTGGGTGAGGGCCAGGGTAACCTTATATTTATCGAATTAATGTCCAATTTTGGAGCAAAGTACACAATATCACACCTCTATCAGTGTTTGGTCGATGTGACAAACAATTATGCGGGGTGCAACAACTGGGGGTATAAAAAGCCACAAGGGGGGCTCCACAAAATGTTTGGACGGTACCAAAATAAGAACCATGAGGCGAAAAATTTTAACTTCACGAGTTAGGCAAGCATGATGCAATAGTCTTCGTCGTCTCGTAGAGTACGTAGATAATTTTTGCTAATAAAGTAATAACAATATTAAAGTAATAACTGTGGACGAAAACAGTGTTCACCTTCCCGGTCCACGCTAACTAAGTAAACGAGACCTATATTTACAGCTTTAACGTTGTGAGAATAGCCGTGAGATGAAACGAAGGATGACCAAATAGTAATACTCAAATGCCGCGTAGCTAACTAATTGTAAATGACAACCCTTCTACAACCATGGCTCCATTTCGCTATACTTTTCTAGTGTTCTATGACGACAATGTTCTCTTATATTCTCTGATTTGATTTGAAAAGATCATTGTAGGGCAATATGGCTGGCCAGCCACGAGATATTCAGAACAAAAGAAAACAAATTTGTCATGTGGTGATATGAAATATAAAATTCGGGTCCTATATCCATAATATAAACACACTTACATTTTTGCTCAAACCGAATATTATTAGTTAAAATTTAGTTGAGACACCACATCACAAAACCCGCACATAATTACAAAATATTCCTGGAAAAATTCAAAAAATGTAAGCAACATAACTTTTTAATATCCTTAAACTTCCAATAAAGTAATGCTACAAATTGCATAATGTTCGCACCCCAATCTAGATCTAGAAACGTTCCATTAAATCGCTTATATTAAAGGGGAATCATATAATTAATTACTTGAACCTTGGATTAGTCCACAAGTTAATCCGGCAAGAGATATTATTGTTCCTTAAAAACGCCTTAATATCGATATACTCCTAGGACCACAAATCTGTCGTCTCACATTTTCAGGTTCTGCAAAAACCAACCAACTCTATTTGTGGCTGAGAAGCGGAATGCAAATGATTAAGGGCTGATTTATTACATAGAACATACACTGAAATGTGAATGGATTCTGTGACAAATGAGCACGAATGCACTACCATAGCACCATACATTCAGCCCAAGTAAGGCTATCGAGTATTCGTGATTCTGCATTTGAAAAGCCGTGAAAACGAAATCTGACATAATCTCAGTTGGTTTGATTTTATTCAGCAAAAAAACGCTGAAAATGCAATGTCTACCCTTTATTAGCACAAGTCGTCACTTTCAGCAGACAAAGAAATCAAATTAACGGATTACTTTCACGTGGAGGAATATGTGATCATTCTTCGTAGACACTAGACAATCTACCAATATATTTAGACATTGTGGAATGTGGGTGAACCGGCACCTTCAATCTAACATAAATTAGACTCCACAACTCAAATCTAACTTCAACATAAATGAATGATTAAACTCCAAAACTGTGTGATCTACGTTTTTTCAACTTTAATTTGAAGACTACTGATCTACTTTCTAAATATAGCTTCAAAAGTTTTTACTTATTGACATGCATAATGCGCAACATGCAGTAATATTATGGAAAAAAAGCAAGAACAGAACTGATACATTAAATGAATATTGGTGAATATGCTCTCATCGTGTTAAAAAACTCAAGCTTTGATACATAATAAGCGATATGAAATACCTTTTAGGCTTAAACGACTCAGCATTTATCCTTAAAAATCACTTTTAAGCCTAAAAATGCGAATAAAAGAGGATTGATTTGATTTTCATCATAAAATTCCATTGTGACGAGAGGAAAATGTATTGACTTCAAAATTGTTCATTTTAAAGAACTCCATGTCCGGCCCTGGGTGAAACACATCCTTGTCTGTGGATCAGTCCGCGGACTAGTGCATAGATCGGCCGAGCTTCTTGGATACTGCTAACAATTATGTAGATAAACCACCGTATCCTGGCATATCAAACCACACCCAAACGAGAACATGCACCGACTCAAATTCAAACTGTAGAAATAAACCACATCCTTCAATTTTCTGTCAGCGTATGTCGAGAACAGTGATACTAAATCTTAAATTAAGCACTTATGTTATAAATCCGTCTTATGGTATAATCACACCGACACATATAATTTAATACTTAAATATGAGACGATGTTATTTTAACGGTTATTTTGTCGGTATTCGGCCGGGTTTAGTAATTGATTAGGGATTATAAGCCAATCTTCTAAATTATCCAATATTTTCAATGATGTTCAGTTTATAAAATGCACTACGGTCTAAACCATCAAACAATTCCTGAATGACTGTTCATCTTTCCATCACGAGCTAACGACGAATGTTCATGAAATACTTGTTGAGAATGAATTCTAAAATCTTAAGAATACAAAATGTCTGAAATACACACAAATCTTGTCCAGTGGGTCCACAAGGCCCGATATGATAATATTATTCGTTCCGAGCTAAAAATGAATTGGTTGTGGCGTCACCATCTTCAGAACTTTTCTTCGTTTTTATGTGGTATTCTGCTAAAACCTGCAGTGAAATGAGAGTTGTTGAAATTGCTATTGAAGTTGTATCAAATCATTTTCCTTGAAATGAAACAAAGCAAACGGTTTTCATTAATTATGCTCATCCTTGACGTCAAGTCCCTTAGGTAACGACATTGCATTTATAAGCTTTATTTTGCACTATCAAATGTCAAGAGTATAGGATCTTTATTTCTAACCTCGCTAAGCTTGTCTCCATTTCCACTGAAGTAAGCGATAACTGCGGAGTTGAACATTTCCAGTTGTGTTTTCATCACCATCGACTGAAATTGAAGTATTATATTTTAGTACTTAAAATTAATAGTTACCCAATAAATACCCAGTCAAAAGACGCATTAAACACTTTACAATCAATTGTAATAATCTCAATAAATGTGTGGGTGTGCCAGGTGATGTGTGTGTGTGTGTGTGTGTGTGTGTGTGTGTGTGTGTGTGTGTGTGTGTGTGTGTGTGTATGTGTGTGTGTGTGTGTGTGGGTGTGCCAGGTGATGTGTGTGTGTGTGTGTGTGTGTGTGTGTGTGTGTGTGTGTGTGTGTGTGTGTGTGTGTGTGTGTGTGTGTGTGTGTGTGTGTGTGTGTGTGTGTGTGTGTGTGTGTATGTGTATGTGTGTGTATGTGTGTGTATATGTGTATGTGGGAAATTTCCGGCCGACTTAATCAAGAAAATGGTAAGAGTTATGGGACTGGTTTTTTCGGTATTGTTTCGACAAAACTATGACGAAGCCAATAATATACTTTTAAAAGCACATTGCATACTTTCGCATTTCAATTGCGATTTACTTAGGACGCCCGCCAAAATTGTAAATTTTCAGTCCGGGTGTGTCCGAATTTTCAAAACCACCCCCCTACCCCGGACGTCCGGATTTCCAGCTACTTTTGTAAATAAAATTCAAAAAGTTGAAATAAAATTCAAGGAGTTGAAATAAATGAGACTTTTTCGTTAATTCTGCCAAAATTTCCGGATTTTCAGTCCCCCCCCTCCCTTTTTGCCGGACGTCCTAAGTACCTTACAAGACATATTTATGTGGATCATAATTCTGGGGATCGGAATTCTTTTTCTTTTGATTGGTCGGCGTCGACTGTAAGCCTTCCTTGCGGTGGCTTTCGCAACGCGTCCCCATTCTCCAACTCCTGCTGCTGGAGAGAGAGACTCCCAAATTATATACCATAAATATATTATACATAGATATCGACAACAGACTCCGAGAGTCTTGAAGTGCTGTTACCACCGCCCCTGGTGCAACCCCTTACGGGTTAACGATGGGGAGACAGGGACTTCCAGGGACGGTCAGTGCCTAGAAAAACTGCAAGATGTCCTATTTGTATTAGTGGTTAATGGGATCCTCGAAAAGATCCTCCTTTAGTAGTCTATTGGTTGCCTCGATAAATTTTATAACCGTACTAATTCTAGCTGATACTATGTCTTCCCAGGTTAGAAAAATATTACCGAAAATTCTTAGCCTAATGGTCATGTATCCTATACAGTGACACATGAAGTGTTCCGAGGTTTCTTCCTCTTCTGGACAGTGTTCACAACGGGGGGATGTGAAATTGTTTGCCTTGTATTGGAAGTAGGCTAGGGGGCTATGTCCTGTGAAGAGCCAGGTTAGCCATCTTTGATGGCTAACCTGGGGGGGATTATGGGGGAACGAAAATATGGGGATTTTTTTCAGAAATCCCCAAATTTCGTACCCCAAATTAAATTGTCGCATTTTCACGCTAAATTATTTCAGAGAAATCAAAATCAGTTTTTGATGGAATTTTTAAAAATTGCATGTCTTCCTTATTCTATTTTGTACTTAATGTTTTTCTAGTGTGAAACTAGTCGTTGTTATAGAAGTCTTTATAAAATTATATGTGAGATAATTTTGAATCTGACGCACGTTTTTCACGGAACACTGAAAAACCAGTATTTTCTATTCAGTAATTTTTATACTAAGTAACTTTCTATTTACCTGAGAAATGCGTATCCTTGTCTCACAAAACACGTAAAACAACTTATTTGACAAATTCACCTCAAATAAGCCCTATTAAAGCCAATTACATAAAAATTAATGTGTGGGATTTTGAAATGGCGGCCGCAATTTTGGTAGTACGAAAATATGGGGATTTTTTTCCAAAAATCCCCAAATTTCGTACCATATAAATATGTCTCGTAAGGTAGATGGCACCATAGGCACAGGATACACTAGAAGTGACGTGCGTTCAATATTTCCGTACATGAGCGCGTAGGTGGCCGTTTGGTAAGATATTCGATCGCGCAGCACAGCGCATATAATTGCGCGGCGCGCGCGTGACATCGACATATAACTACTTAAATTGTGTGTTATCTAGCTTTAATTAATTAGACGACTGCGCGTTACGTCTAAACATTCAAATACTTGCGGAGGTAATAGTTCATACTTCCTAGGCTACGTAACACAAGTGCGATTTAGAACATTCAAATTCTGACAGCTGACTTTAAGGTGTAATCAAAATATAAAAATAAAATCAAGAGTCGGAAGACGACGTGGAAAAGCGTGTACATTTTTTGGAAAAGCAGAAAAAGGAATAGGAACAAGAGACTCTCAAGGTAAATTAACAATTTCGTTCAACCGAAAACACGATCAAACTTCGAAGGCTCCTCAATATGTAATAATAATTTATATAATAACCGTAGCCCTAAAAATTATAATTACCCTGTTTTCCCCCAAAAGATCCAGTTTTGTGTTCGTGTCCCGTTTCAGTTTCTCCCACTTTTGTTTTCTGTTTTCAAAAATGACCTGTTGAAAAATAAATAAAGTTAATATTTCCACCAATCATATCGTTGTGACGTGTATAACCACGTGACCAATTTTATATCAGGTTGCAGCAAAGGATAACTACGATATAAGCTTTTAACTGTCAACCTTCGTACAACTGAATGGCAGAGGTGAATAAAAACATATATATCTAAGAGTCTGTAATTGAAAGAGTCATAAACAAACCTGTAATTCTAAAAGCCTATTCTTATTTGCTTCAGTTTGGGGCGCATTTTGTAGAGTAACTATATCGTTACGATATGCGTCATATTCAATACGTGAGTTTTCGTAGTTTCTGAAGAAAGAAATAGCACATTATATTTGAGACACCCTATGAGTTATGAGTCGATAATAGGTTTCAAAAAGTACTCTAAACTTGTTGACTGTAAATATGATCGAATAATAATTATCGATTGATAAACTAATTAATTAATTATCACATACTTGATGGTGAGAAAAGTGTCTTGAATAGTGACGTTAACCAAGGTGTTGAGCGAGTCTACGAACGTTTTAATAGCACCTGCAACACATATCTTATGTTAAATGAAGTTATTATTATAGACTTATTATAGATTGTAGACTTATTACAGACTAATTATAGACTAATTTCTAGAGAAACTCATAAGATCTCTATACAGATTACAGATACGTGCTATTTTATAAAATCAATCATTAATGTTTGTCATCGAAGCTAGTTTGGAGATCAAGATAAACTAAGTAGAGAAATTAAAAGATGGTTCAGAAAAGCAGTCAGCAATATGTCATACCCAGCAATCCCTCTCCGTTTTTCTCTAAAATAGAGTGAGTTGTGGCACTTGCTTGTAGCTGGTCTTGAAGGTCAGGTGCGTGAGATATCAGCGTCTAAGACAATGTAATGCTTTAAGATTCTGGATCAATTGAGAAAAGTAGTAGATTCTAGAATCTAGATTATCTTTATAAAGTATTGGTCAGCATATTCATAATGGCAGAATTTCATTCATTCCATACTCGTTCTTATTTAAATTATAAAACCACCTGGTGCATATTTTACATTTACACATTTTACATATTTACATTTTCAACTCTATAATTTAAAAATTATATTATTTGTGTGATGCATGTTAATCTGCAGCTTTACTCATCTCAACAAGACATGACATCAGGTTAAGAAACAGAAGTTATTAAATATATAATTAACTAACGAGTTAATGAGTTAATGACCAACCTGGAACTGAGCCCGGATATTGTGATGAGTGGTGAGCAGCGCCTCGAATCTGGCGAACATTACCCGTGCTTCCCTTAACATATTACCATACTGTACTTTAGATAACCTTAACTCTTCTATCCTGTCCTGGGGTAGAAGGTTGGTGAGAATGCTTCGCTTGATTTTCTTAAAAGTGCACACCGCGAATTTTGCAACTTTGGCTAAAATAGTAATAGGGCGTGATACAGAAACATTGTCGCATCGTGGGTCTGATTAGATCAAGTGGGTTGACTTGAGATTTGTTGTTTTTGGGTTATGGTTATCAAATAGTTACAATTCTATGCGAGTGATATATAATAAGGACTTACTTCTAAATCCTTGTCCACGGTTTTAGTGGAATGCCCAAACTTTTCACTGACAAGCTGTTTGGTAAACTTGTAATTCTGAACAGTCCACTTCTTGATTTGCTCAAGTTTGGGTTGCTCCATTGACAGGCACTGCAAACAAATATACCATTAAAAACATAGCGTTAATACTACATAGTCATGTGATCAGGAACATGTGATCAGGAACATGTGATCAGGAACATGTGATCAGGAACATGTGATCATGTGATTGTCTGTGCCAATGTAAAATGTTGCAAAGCAATTATTCACTGTCGCTACTTTTTATTGTTCCTTGTCACAAGAAATATGTTGTAGTATATATACAGGATACATGACATAAAGAATTTGGTTTAACTTGTTTGTACGAAAAGCATCAATATAGTCACTAATGTATACAGTATGTAGTTACATAATGTAGTAGTAGTAGTCAAGTAATAGTTAAGCAGTATAGTAGGTGCTATTTTCAACCTGTTTTAAACTTCGCCCAGATACAAGTTTAGCGGCGGTATGTTTGTCTGTTTGTTTGTCTGTTTGTTTGTCAGTCGATGTGTTCACTGGGTCCGGTAATTGTAACGCTACTTCTTCATTGTACTGTAAGTATAATTATAGTAGTTATGTTTCATTGTTATGTTGCAATGTGTCAAGTCCGCTTGATAATATTTTAACATATACTTTAAAGTTTAAGTAGAGTTGGCCGCTGCAATGTAAATATATATTTAATATATTGAATATTATATTATATTTAATATATTGAATATTACATTATATTTAATATATTGAATATTACATCATATTTAATATATTAAATATTACATTATATTTAACATATTGTAATTAGATTGTTATGGAAACTAAGTTATTCACGTCATGGCAAACAGAGTGTAACTTATAATTATAGTACCCTCTTGTAAAATGTAGCTGTTCAATATGTACTTCAAAATAATACGGTATCCAAACGGTTATCTTAGTTTTTATCTTTTACCTTACCTATCTTGAGCCTCGAAAACAAGAAGTGACCGTAGATTGAAATGAACGATAACTCAACAATCCACGTTCAAAAATGTAATAAAATTCCGACGGTACTATTCACCACATAAAAAGCGTGTAACTATAACTACAGGGAAGAAGGGAGGCGATACAAACACGAAACACCATTATACTACAACAACCGTCAACCACAGCTGTTAAACAACATGTAACCTCGGCACACGTACACACGTACACACGTACACACGTACACGCTCCTGTATAACACAACTGCTAAAGTAAGGGTTCATTGCACTCTACCACCTCATTTCACACATATTGTTGCGTTATTTGGAGGTGTAGCTAGACAGTATCCCACAGTATGTGGAGACTGCATAACTTTATAAACTACAATGGTATACGTTGTTCTATTTCGAAATCATATCCTGTCCAAACCCAGGCTAGGATGCACTACATGAAGAAGCAGGGTGAGAATCCCTGCCACGTTTTTTGGTCAGTTTCGCCGGGGCTCATGTCTTTCCTCGAGGGAGCATTAGTGTCTACAGAAAAACTAACAAATCCTAGCGAAGTCCAATCCGAACCACATCTTCCATCAGAGGTGGTGCTGGGTCAGCTGGTTACTGAACGGATTGGCCTGGAGAAAGGCATAGTCCTGGTATTCTCAAGTTAACCATAGCTCAGGGGGTCAGGCGCTGTTCCCTCACGGCTGGTTCTTGGAGCCAACACCCTCAGCCCCACAGAAGTGGGAGCACTGTCGGTGGTGACTCACCCAGATAACGGACAGTGTCTCTCCTTCTTTCTTCTTGGACTTGCATTGTTGCTGGTGAGTCAGCTGGCATCAGTGTATCATACTTTCATATTCATGTTCTCTTCCCCACTTCTCCTACACCTCACTTTACTACTCACTCATTCACTCACATGCCGCCTTAGGGCCGCTACCAGTTAGAGGGGATCTAACAATCAGACAAACTGCCAGCCTTAGGGCCGCTACCAGTTAGAGGGGATCTAACAATCAGACAAACTGCCAGCTATTGGAGATATAGCACTTAGATTATTTCCAGCAAACGTAAATTAGCAATAATTACGTGAACAAAGAAATTGCCAAATTGCGACAAAAAAAGGGTCTACTCAAAATACAAATTTCGTATGTAAATTCGTGAGTCAGCACTTTAGTATAGCGCGGAAATTGAGCCGCGCATGGCAAAGACAAATAAATAACACAAAAACAACAAAGGAAATGGGAGAATTACATCATAGGCTCAGGCATGCCTGGTAGGTTCCTGTCAGCCCACTAGAATGACAGGGGGCAGCCTGTTCTATCGAGTACCCGGGAGAACATCCAGACATGGGTGGTGTTCTCCCGTGAACGAGCATTATGACAGTTTCCCTAACGGGAAACGTCGCTCACCAGGCTTTATCCTCTGGAGGGGCGGGATCACTAGCCCATGCCAAGTGACCCAAACCTACTGACACCTACAACCAGAGGAACCCCAATAGACGTTAGTCACTAACTGACGGACGTAGCCTCCCAATAGGGAGGTAAAGTGGGTGCCCCAACATAAAAAAAAAAAAAAAACTACATGAAGAATTCGTTCAAGCATTAATAAGCAATAAGATGCTTTTTCATAAGTGCTTTGGACACATTTGTGCTTTGGACACAATTGCAAACAAATATTCGTTACGATTTCAACTTTTTATTGGCATCCTTGATATAAAATGTAGGAATAAACATTACCACTGATAGAACACTGCCAGCACGTTTGAGTTAAATATTGATATTTTATAAAAATATTTACAGGAGCAAAAGAAGCCCTGTGTAAGTATAAGTCGCGCCTTCAATTGAAGTTATGGACAATCGAATGAATACCTTCATTTGTCCTTCCACCAGCAATTGTGTATTAAGATACACACAATATACATTAATACACAAGCTTTAGTGAGTATACATTTCACGTGTTTTGTATAGTTGAGCAATAGATGAAAGTGTCAATAATAAAGAGCATTACAAAATAAAGAGCATTACAATTAGCGCTTGTTCTATTGTTCCCCTCAAATGTACAAATTATTGTGTACATATGGTGCAATGTGTACATTACATTTAACAATTATACACTCTGCAATTTCAACCTACTATTATGTATTCCTCGCTGTGAGTTATTAATAGATCATGGAGTCATTTACCCTACTGACTGTCCAAAAAGCAGGGAAATGCAGATTAAAACCCAATAAACCCAATAAGTAAAAACAAAAGGTTGCAAAACATCTACACAGTACACACCTTTTCATCGACACTATAAATATATCCTTTAAGTTTACTCAACAAACTGAGATTTTCCGTTTTTTGGGTGTTACGAAATACGAAACCAAGCGATAAACTAATGCAACTAAGCTAATCTAGACTTACAAAGAATCTAGACTTATATACGTTAATTTACAGAGGAGATTTAGAAGACAAACTGTATATTATATAAGATATACTGCGTGATTACAGATATCATGCATGTTATACCGTCATACAATTCCCGCAACGAGTAGCTGTAAAATTGTGCGCTGTACAAGGAATATATTATATCTAATGTACTATTTAAAGTACTATTTACATTGTATTTAATGTATGTATATTGTATAGTGAAATACACACGTATATGTGAAACGTGATTCAGTGAAATTTGGAACCAGCCTAAATACCATAGCGATGATACTGTAGTTATATAATCAAGAGGCTTACTTATATCGGTCATGACTTTAGGGGCTAACTTGTTAAAATTTAGATTTGTTAAGAGTTGAACTGTAGCGGGGAGCCATTAGCTGAGAGTTTACTAAAGAACTACAAACCTTGCATATATTTCTGGCCAGTAGTTTAATATTATCATAATATCGTGATTAAACTCAGAATATTGAATAACATTATTTCCTATTAATAGAGAAAAGTTAGTACTCGAGAGGATATTATTGAGTACATTGACAGGTATAGGATTGCTTGCGGAGATGTGATGTGTAGATATTTGTTGACTATTCCAACACGTGTATCCCTGCACTCGTAGTTTGTTGAGGGCGTTGACACGGACAATTACAGAGTCGAGTACCAATCAAAGGACAATGTTTGAAGTTATTTGGCCCAGTTATCTGGGTATCAGCTGAGAAAAATGTCGATTGTCACGTAGTAAGAATCGCTCAATATACACGAGAGTCGATTGCGCTATGTATTTAATTAGCTGATTATAATGTTGGGTATAGAGTATAGATCCCTTGTCTATATTTAGCGGCCAGTGCAAGTTTGCATATGTACAGTACATTGTACCGTGTATAGTGTATATTATATTATGTATATTATGTCATAAAGTACGGAACAAATTCTCACTCATTATTTCTGGGAGAAAGCTGACTTTAGTTAATTTTGTAAACTATTCTAGGGATCAGCTTGAAACTTATCCTTAACTAGATATTTAAGGGGCATAGGGCGGTAATTAGAAATACTATCAAAAATTAAATGCTCGAAGAATGACAAATGGGAAGGGAAGCCTACATTTTATTAAAATCTGTATCTGGGGCCTGATTTTGCAGACTGTGAGCTTCATACATAATCAAAACAATTTCAAATAATTTTCGAAATTTTTGTCGACTTACCATTCCACAGCTTTGTTTTTCCGGTACATTCTCAATGCTATTCGGATCTCGTTCTAACTCTATCTCCTCCTCCTGCAGGCCCCCCTCTACATTTGCATCTCCTGTCCTCCCAAATATTTTATCGAAAATCCCTTCCCGTTTCTCTAGTTGAGGCGATGCACAGCTACTATCTATATTTAGCGAGGCATTAGATTCGTTGTAGGGAGGAGGAGGGATGGGAGAAGAGGGAAGATCAGGAGCTGAACCAGAAATTGGAGAAGAGGGAGGGGAGATATAGGACGAGGAGGAGGTGATTTAGTCGGGGTGGTTGGTATCGGGGAGGATGGTGTTGGGGGTGTTATAGAGTTTGTAGGAGAAGAAGGTCGAGTAGACACAACAGAGTTAGACGGAGATGAGGGTCTAGGTGGAGGTACTATATTTGTTGGGGGTGATGTACTAACTGGGTAAGCTCGGAGAGTCAGCCTACGTTTCTCCCTGGGAGGGCTTACTGGGGTGTA